ACAAATGATCACCTACAGAGCATTAAAACGTATAGAAAAGACTATCGAATAAAATCGACCACTCGTTTTGGCTTTTGTAGATTTCCATAAAGCCTATGACACGGTAGAATTTGACAAAATCCTGGAAGCACTACAAGCATGCCGCATTGACTACCAATACCGATAGGTTAATTTAGAATACATACAAGAACGCAACTTTGTCGGTGAAACTACATAAAAATACGGATCATATCCCAATCGGCAGAGGAGTCCGATAGGGTGATACCTTATCGCCTAAACTATTTACCGCAGTACTAGAATATGCTTGTAAAAAACTTAACTGGGAAGTGAAAGGCCAGAACATTGACGGTAGAAGATTAACAAATTTAAAATTCGCAGTAAGTGTGTGCCAGTGTGGGTCTTAAAATAAACATCTCCAAAACAAAATTCATGACAAACCTAGTACCCAGCGAAAATATCAATATTGGATATCAATACGACGAAGTAGAGCTGGTGGAAAAATACATATATCTTGGACACGAAATAAAGATCACAAGAGAAAACCAAATATAATAATAATAATAATAGCGTTTATTGTCCAACAGAATCCATTTATAGGACAAAATACAATACTAAAGTTGCGAACTACGAAGAAGAATAAACCTAGCATGGGCAGCCTATGGAAAACTCAAAGATATCAATAAAAGCCAATTTCTTTAAAACGTAAAACATTTGACCAATATGTGTTGCCTCTGATGATCTATGGTGTCGAAACTTTGACATTGACAGCTATAAGTTCTAAAACGCTGCAAATACTTCAGAGGAAAATGGAAAGGTCAATCGCTTCGTGACCGAGTTAGAAATGAAGACTTAAGACGAAGAACAGGAGTTACCGATGTAATTTCTCGAATTGTCAGTCTGAAATGGAACTGGGCCGGATACGTCACCTGAATCAGTGATGAAAGATGGACGAAAAGATTGCTTGAGTGGAGGACAAGATTAGACAAAAGAAGTAGAGAAAGACCCCCTACTCGTTGGACTGACGATCTCAAGAAAATGTCAATAAATTGGATGAAAAGTGCTCAAGATAAAGCACAATGGACAAAAATGAGGAAGGCTTATGTCTAGCAGTGGATGCAAAGGGCTGGGTGATGATGATGACCCCAATCGCTCTACATCGAGAGCTTTTTTGAAAAAGCTTCTTCGGAAGTTTAAACAAATATGTAGTGTTCAAGATGTCAAACGATCTGGTCGACCAAAAATTAGCGATGACAAAAAAATTGACATAATTTCAGCAATCGTAGTGAACCTTACTTCTACAGACCAAGGTGCATCTATCTATGGAATTAGTCAAAAGTTATGTGTTGGCTGAAAACAAATTTCATCCATACAAATTAAACATTGTGAACCAACTTTCAGATGATAACCCCGACCGAAGACTAGAATTCTGTGAAAATATGTCCAGTAAAATTAATCAACATCCTGATTACATGTTCGTGAGGTACAATGTTGGTGACGAAAATTATTTTTCTCTTAATGGAAATTTTAGCAGACACAAGGTGAGGTATTTGAGTGACACAAATTCTCACGTGTTTCGTGAAACACATACTCAAGTTTCAAAAAAATATATTTGGGCAGGTATTTTGGGAAACCACACAGTTGGGCCTGTTTTTTTCAATATCCAGATGAATTTGGCAACTTGGAAATAACGTTTCAACAAGATGGTGCTCCTGCACACCAGTGTGGTACAGTAAGACGTTACCTGGAGGAGGAATATCGTATTAGTATGGAGCTAATCTCTTTATATGGACTACCTTGGAGTTACTCGTAGTTGAAAATTGAATACGGTACATTAAATCGTTTATTTTCTGCAGGACGGTGTATGGACCTTTCTAGTTTCGTTCAAATTTCGTACAAAGTCCTTTCTTACGTGTGGGATTGTGTAACCATACTAAGTCACCTTATTTGAAAGTTGTACCAGTAGCATGCATGCCAAGTCTGGTATTGGCTCTATCACTTTAAAGCTTTAAACTTTTACGAGAAAATTCATATACTTTGTCCAATTTTTCTTTCAAATGTTCGATGTACGTTAAGGATGAACGTACTTCTTTGCAGGGAGGCAATCTTCCAAAAATAAGATCTTGGGGAAGCTGTATTTCTCTTGCTGTGATTATCATCGATGGAGAATAACCTGGTACTTTATGTTTGGAAGTTCTATAGGCTAACAGGAATAGCGGAATTAAAGTATCCCAATCTTTTTGACTATCAGCGACAAACATTGAAAGGTGTTAACAAATAGTTCAATTATGTCTTTTATTTATTTCCTTCGATTACGGATGGAGAGATGTAGTGCGAATTTGCTTAACAGCCAAGGTTATACTAATATCTGCTATAATTCTGATTCAAAATTGTATCCATGATTAAAATGTAACTCTTAAGGAACTATATGTCTTGATACAACGTATTTTACGGATGCTTCTGCTAATATAGTCGCTCCTTTATTAGGAACGGGTGTAATTTCAGGCCATTTTAAAAAATAATCCATTGCGACTATTAAGTACTTGTTTCCTCTCTCTTACATTGGAAGTGGTCCAAGAATATCCACTGTAAGTCGTTCAATATGTCAGACAATTAAAAAAGAAATACGAAGAGCCAAGGAGACATGGATGCAAGAAAAATGTTAACTAATCGAAAAGCTCCAAATGAAACACGATCATATAAATATCCACCGAAGGATTCGTGAAGCCACTGGTCAATACAAGAGGAGAAACACACACCTTCTCATAAATAAAGACAGTAATCTGGCGACGGCAGTGAATGAGAAGTTGGTTACCTGGAAAATATATATCGAAGAACTTTTCTGGGACGACCAAGGCAACCTTCCGGAAATAAATTGCATGACAGGGCCGTCAATTTTAGAAAGCGAGGTAAAGGCTGCTTTAAAACAGACTAAGAATGGTAAGGCTACAGGTCCGGACGAAATACCCGTTGAACTTATTAAGGTGATGAGTGAAGTGAGCACGAAGGAGTTAACTGAACTGTTCAACGCCATATACGATTCAGGTAATATCCCAGAGGAATGGCTATTGTCAACATTTGTAACGCTACCAAAAAAACCATCTGCGAAAACGTGCGAAGATTTCCGAACTATCAGTGTTATGAGTCATGCACTTAAAATTTTTCTTAAAATCATACATGCCAGAATTTACCAGAAATTCGAAGAAAATGTCGGTGAAATGCAATTCGGATTCCGCAATTCCATGGGTACACGTGAAGCACTTTTCATTTTACAAGTCCTACTTCAGAGATGCCGCCATGTCAGTTGTGATGTCTATATTTGTTTTATTGACTACGCCAAGGCATTTGACCGTTGTCAGCAGCAGAAGATGGTCACCGCACTACAAAGAGTAGGATTGGATGAGAAGGACATTCGGATCATCATGAATTTATACTGGAACCAGCGTGCTCAAGTCAAGGTCGAAGACCAGCTGACCGACCAAGTGAAGATCATGCGAGGAGTAAGGCAAGGATGTGTGCTATCGCCGACTCTTTTTAATATATACTCTGAGGAGATTTTTAATGAAGCCCTCACAAAACTAGACTTGGGAATCCGAGTGAACGGTGAATACATGAATAATATATGCTACACCGATGACACTGTGTTACTAGCAACCAGCCTAAACGATCTGCAGGCCTTACTAGACCGAGTGCGAACTGTGAGCGTAACATACGGACTGAACCGCAATATTAAGAAAGCTAAATTCATGGTTGTCAGCCGTAAAAATTTAGATCCCGGGGCACTAATGGCAGGTAGCGAAGAGATCCAGAGAGTCGACAGATTCACTTACCTCGGAACTACCCTCAACATGCAATAGGACTACGCTCAAGAGATTAGATCCAGAATTGAAATGGCACGGTCTACACTTATTAAGTTGAGATCCTTGATGTGCTGCAGTGATCTCAGTTTGGGAACCAAGATGCGGATAGTGAGGTGCTACGTTCTTCCAGTGTTACTATATGGAGTTGAAGCCTGGACATTGACGCAAGCCACTGAAAACCGAATCGAAGCCTTCGAGATGTGGATATACAGAAGGATACTAAAAATATCTTATGTGGACCATGTCACCAACGTTGAGGCCCTACAGCGCATGACAAAAGAAAAAGAAGTGCTTAATTTAATTAAACAACGTAAGCTTGAGTACCTCGGCAACGTGATGCGGAACGAAGAAAAATATCGAATTCTTCAACTCGTTATGCAGGGTAAAGTATTTGGCAGAAGAGGACCGGGACGCCGTCGTATCTCGTGGTTGAAAAATCTCCGACAATGGTTCGGGATGACCTCAGCGGAGCTGTTTCGTAGAGCAGTCAACAAAACCATGATAACCTTGATGATCGCCAACATCCGGACCGCATAAGGCACTGAAGAAGAAAGTCGTTCAAAAGGCTCTCCGAAAAATATTGTTACTACAGTTCCGATTGTTTGCATATAGAAAAAGTCCGTTGGCAAAAATGAAAAAGTATTAAACAAATCTAGAATGATCGAGATGTCATTGAAAAATTCGGGAATGTCTAGTAAATGGCTATCTCCGTGAGACTTAATGAATTGATCTTACATCTCTAGTATAAATTCTATGTTGAACTAAACGAGTAAACCCTGTAGTTTTTATTTTCATTAATAAATTCGTTAATGTTGTCTAATTCTTCAGTTGTTAAGTTACCAAAATTTTTGATTAGCTTATCATTCTGCGAAAAACACAATAAACAAATAATTTACGATAACCATTGCTATTTTTCGCTAAAAAACGTAGAAGACATCCAAAGAAAATATTCCAACAAGATCTTAAGATTTAAAATTGAAAATAAAGCGTTAATAAGTTTAATTTTACATTAATGTGATTTTATTTTAATGGTTGTGATTATGTAGGAAAATTATTAATTATTTAACTGTTGAAAATTATTGCTGAATAGTTACATTTTACATCGTGAAAATGTAATGTTTTAGTACCAAAAACAAATGAAAATAATTTAAATAATATATTAATTAATAAAATTTTCAGATTCATAAATTCATTTGACTAGCAACTCTTCTGAAATAATCAGACATTGTTCTTTGTGGCGGTGGTGGAGGTGGTTTTTCAGCCTCAATTCGATCTGCAAGAGTGTAGACGCTGTTTTCTCCAACGGGTTCATACTAAAAAATAACTAAGTATTATTTTTCCATTTTACAGTAAAGTCCTAAGTCTATCCACTCCTACATAATTTCTAAATTATAAAACTCACGCCAAAATAATAAATAAAAGTTTATATCTACATATTTAAATAATAGATAAAAGTTTGAACTGGCATTATTTGGCAAAATTAGTCAAACTGTCGTAAATTTTAATAAATTCTATTCTCTATTTAATACATTTACAAAATATACTGAGGACTTAGACGAACATTATGTAATGAAAAATAAGTGATATATTCAAATATATAATAACTAATGGATATCATCTTATTCCTACTCGATATAAGTAATTCTGCTTAATCATTAGCAGACTAGCACCTCCAGCGGTCAGCCGATACTTCTACCGTTTGAGGATGTATCTCTGTTAAAGGCAACAATGTAAAAGAATGTATGTTATCGATTATCAGCTGTCAGACAATAAATTCACTTTTCTGATGTACACCATCGTCTAAAAACTATTTTATATTTTAAAATAAAATAAACATATTAAAGTAGAGTAAAAGATAATTTTAGTTATTTGAACCACGATAACTACAGTTCACAAACAAGCACACACACACACACACACACACACACACACACACACACACACACACACACACACACACACACACATATATATATATATATATATATATATATATATATATATATATATATATATATACAAACACTCATTAATACATAGTTCTTGGTCCTTCGAGCCGGATATTTTAAAAATCAATTGCAATAATCTGTTGAAGAAAAACATAACATAAATCCAATCTGTCAATTCTGGAAGAGCTTCATATAAAAGACAAGCTATTAAAAAAAGTAAACTAAGCATACCTAAATTACTCCGGCCACATAGCTTTTTTTTCCCTAAGTTAATGGCACTGGCAAAGCCAAAAGAACGAGGACCATGAAACTATTGGTAGTAGAAGTGAAGGTAGAAGGCCGAAGACCAAGAGGAAGATCTCTGATGGGGAAATCCCTATTCCAAAAGTTAACCTGACAAGGTCTTAAGGAATGAGGAGGAGGAGTATGAGATATATAGTATGAGATATATAGTACTTTATTGTAATAAGTAGTAGTAACCAGAATACTGCCAAGCAGCGTCATTATTTTGTACATATCTGTCTCTTTCGCCTTCAGCTTCTCATTCATTTCTTCTTCTTGCAAGGGCTTCTATTCTTTGGGTTGTGCAGGAAGCAATATGCATAAATAAACTATCCGAAAATAATTTTAAAAAAATATCAACAGGAACAAAGTTCTAACAATATTTAGCTATGTGTCTTCTCTCTAGGTAGAGTTTTTTTTTTAGACAAACGTCTGTACTTGGTATATTTCATCGTGCAGTTAATTTATTTCTTTCTGACTCATCTTAAAAATTTACTTGTTATCAGAATTTTCTTCATTGGAAGTAATGATCTTGTTCACAGTCTCATATTCTTCAATATTCTTGCTTATCAGAATCTGATGCAGAATCAGCACTAGGTACAGAATCAGAATTTGAGTAGCATAAGTTTCTTCCTCAGCTTCATTTTCAAAAATATGTTAGAGCTTTTTAATGTCTTCTTAAAGCTCTTTTTTTTTTGTTAGAAAACATCTTCCTGCTATAGTAAGTCTGCACCCAATTAACACGAATAGGATAATAACACCCGGTGGGGTAAGAGAGTCCCGTTTCAAAATTATGTTGAAAATAAACAATACCTTATCGCTTACCTTTGATAGTCAGCACCTAAATTATAAATTATATATTAAAAACAGGACAGATACTTTTTCTTTACTAAAATTATACGAGGTACTGATGCACGCGTTTTAGTTAAAGACAATTTTCTAGGTTACAGACACGATATGTTGGTTATATATTAATAGATAATAAATAAAATTCGGATGCATTTAAATAACATGGGCTTTTGAAACAAATAGAAACAAGCAGGTTGTTTACAATTCAATGAGACATATATCCCCACAGTAATGAAAAGGTTAAAAAACCTTAATTATAGGTGTAAGATGTTTGGTATACTAAATATTCTTTAATACAATAAGATTCTTATTATTTTTTTAAATTAGTTATAGCAAACATGTATGAAAATATTTGTAGATCTCGAATCTTAACCAATTTTTATTAATAGCTAATTATGGAATAATATGGGCAGTTGTGACACGGAAGATCTAAAAATCTGTTGTTTAGTTATAAACTTACCATAAGTTGATTAATATAATATTCATAATTAATCGTGTTTGTTAATGGATCAACAGCAATCTCAAACATTTCATCTAGTTCATCTTGAGTAAACGGTTCTCCCTCTGTCAACATTATTTCTGACATTTCGTCTTTTGTCAGATATCCTAAACCTTTTGGATCTAAGGCACGAAAAGCTTCTAGAAGATGCTCAGGAGATGCAGGTTCATATCTTAAAAATTTTTAATGTTTTTATGCCATGTAGAAGAAATATATAATTCAGAACAATCTAAAAAATATCAAAGATACTAGTAAGAGACTCTGAGACAATCTATAAACTGCTATTTGTAAAACAATGTCGTTTAGTTCATCAAACAATCGCTGTTTTCATTTTTATTTACGCAAAAACGTCTTTTTTAGTAATTTCAATAATGGTTTTTCTTTCGTACCTTCAAGAAACTACACAAGATTACCGAATCTATAAAAACTGAGACTTTTCAGCTTAATATTTCTCCCAATCCCTTTACAACTCTTAAAATTAAATTATTTAGGGTCTCAAACCAGCATTACCTTCACAGTGATTAAAGCTGCTTGCCTTTCTAAAAGGATATTGCAGTATGACAAAGGGCTGTGGTACATGTTGGTATTGATACTTCAAGTTTTCAGATAGTCAATAAAACAAAGATAGTACCAAAGATTAAAACTAAAAATCGATATAATTGCCTCTGACGCTCACTTCTAATACCATGGTTTCGGCAGTCTGCCTACTGTTCACCTGGAGTTGGTTTTTAAACTCTAAATCATCTTGCCAGTCTCTTTTTATTATTATTATCATTAATAACTAGCCATAGGAAACTCAGTGGGAAATTCTAAATTGTTGAATTCCTGCTTCCCTAATTATTTTACATCAAAAGTTATAAGAAACTTTTTATAGAAGAGTGAAATCTGCATTAGAAACAAGTGTTAAAATTGTTCTACGAATTAAGCGTACTCCAATATTTTGCAAAAATATTATATATTCTTCAGGCCACCCCTTAAAGTCAGGCCACAGCTGGTACGAGAATGTGCATGACATGTTGCGTTTAATCATATTGATGTTTCTGATATTTGAAAATATTTGAATTTTGAATTGGCAATATTTTTATTTTGTGATTAAATTATAAACAACAAATTTTCACAAATAGTACTACTACCAGTTAACAATAAATAGTATTTTGGAAGCAATAAATTATATTGTTTACAAAGCAATAAAGTTGATGAAATGTACTCAGTTCACGATAAAAGTGGGAGCACAGAATACTGTTTATGTAATATTTAGGCAATAGTGCGAGCACTGCCAGATATTAATTTAATGTAAGTTATTATAATACTATCCTCGCTAGTTCTGAAGCTGAATTGATTCACCTGCTACAACGGATAGAAGACGTAATCTTAACGATGGGCCTTAAGATAAACAGAGATAAAACGAGAATCATGATAATTGACAGAGCTAACAACAATGAAAATCATCTGGTCATGATAAACAATATCGCTGTTGTAGATCAATTAGTGTATCTGGGCTCATTAATAACCAACAAAGGAGGCTGTACTGAAGAAATAAAGCGGCGGTCAGCAATCGCAAAAAGCGCTATGGCACAATTAACAAAAATTTGGAAAAGCCATGAAATAACTACCGATACAAAAATGAGACTAGTAAGAAGTCTAGTTTTTCTAGTTTTTACTTATGCATCGGAATGCTGGACCCTTACTGAGAAAGATAAAAAGAACATAGATGTATTTGAGATGTACTGCTGGAGACGAATGCTGAGAATACCATGGGTGGCCCGAAGAATAAATGAATCCATATTGGACCAGCTAAACATAAAGAAAAGACTAAGAACACAGATATCAGAACAAATAATAAGCTATTTTGCACATGTGCTTCGAAGAAATGGTCTTGAAAAACTTACCATCCAGGGAAAAGTAGAAGGCAAAAGAAATAGAGGTAGATTTCCCACACGACACACGGACCATATTGTTGCTACCATTGGCGCTCCATTGTCAGAATATGCTAGAATGGCAGAAGATAGAAAAACGTGGAGGAACATTGGGAAATTTAGCTAATAGCTTCATGATGTCACGATACCTGCATCAGGTTAACGACTAAGAAAAAGAAGAATTACAATACACCCCAATTCAAATTCAGGTTATACAACACTTCAGATAATTGCAATATAGTTTTACTGAGATCCTTCCTATAAATAATTTATGATAATTTCTAAACATAAAATTATAACATAAAACTATAACAAATGTTCAAACAATAAGCCATTTTATACTAAGCAGTATCCCAACTTATTGTAAAATTTTCGTCTAACATTAGCCAGAACACGTGGCGTTATTTTGTCAGAATAATTTGTCAGAATAAAAACTCAATCAAGTTTTACTATTTTTACAACAAATTTTAAAAATTTTATGATGTATTATGTCCATAATTGTATATTTTAATGTGTGGTATAAATGTTGAGTGTCAATGCTTATAAAAATAATCTCAACGACTATGTCTTGAAAAAGGAATAAAACCATTCCGAAAGCTCGACAAAAAGTCAAAAGAGTGTTTTTTTAACATCCCGGCCAATATTCTGACTGCAACCCTAATAAACTATGTTGTTTGTTTATATCGACAGTCACTAATATCCAGTATTTCTTTAAATATATATATATATATATATATATATATATATATATATATATATATATATATATATATATATAAATATATATATATATATATATATATATATATATATGTTATATGTGAAAATAGTCACCTTGAACCACTCAAGGGTTACCGACACTTTGGTTTCGCAATATCAGTTCCTATTTCATCATTCTTTTAGCAAGCGTTCCCATAGAGATAGCTGACTATGCACGGACATCAAACTCTGACCAAAGCTGGCCTTTCGTGGGAAATGCCGACACCACATTTTGTAGATAGATTATAAATTCAGGACTAACATTATATTTTTCACTCGTCATATAAGTTTCTTACTAATAACATTTGTATAATATAATTTTATTTGCTTCATTTTATCGTATAACTAAGTGTAACTTTTATTTGTGAAATAAATCTTTTTTAAAAAGTCAATCAAGAAGTTAGTGATTTAACATTTGGCGCAGTCAGTAGGATCCGGTTAACGTTGTTAGAACAAGGAAACTCACTAGCAACGGCGGATCCCTATCCCTCAACGGAAAAAGAACCTAGAGCCGTCCTCATTCAACTGGATACTACGGAAGGAACACCTGGTGAAGCCCCTGGTAGCAGATCCCGTTAGAAAACAAGACGTACTCGATGTTTCTGTTAATGTAAGTTATTGAATCATCTCGTTTTTACTATTTTTATATTTGCAAACATACCGTACATACATCATAATTTTTTCAATTTAAAATCTTGACCATACAGAAAGTCAAGCCAATTTGATTATCTAATAAGGAAATACCTTTTTATTGCATACTTTTATTATTTTACCATTCTTATTTACACATTTTATTGATTCCGTATTATATTTTCACCGATATTTTACTATATTTTACTTTATTTTACCACATTTTACTTGATTTTACCATATTTTACTTGATTTTACTACATTTTATTTTATTTTACCATATTTACTATTCGTATATTTGTTTTATACTTCCACTAACATATTATTATCAAAATGCCTGAAACACGTTCACAAACCCAAGTTGAAATTGAACCATACAAACTTTCAGAAATATTCTCCATAATTCCTGAGTTTGAAGGAGACCCAATCTCTCTTCCCACATTCTTAGACGCATGTGATTGCGCGATTAAAATGTCTTCGGGAGACCAACGTATTTTATTAACGATTCACATTAAAAATAAACTAAAAGGTAAAGCAGCTCAATTAATAAACTCTAGAAAACCAACTTCATACACAGACATAAAAAATTTATTAAACCTTCATTTCGGAGATAGTAGAGATCTCACTTCCTTAATTCACGACCTACAAAGACTTCGACAGTTATCGAACGAATCACCTTTAACCTTTTTCAACAGATTACAAGTTCTAAATGCAAACATGCACGCCTCAATTCAAAAATCAGGCCTAACACAAGACCAAAAAACCGCCCAATGCACGTTAATTGACTCTATGGCTTTGAATACTCTCTTAACTGGACTGGAACCCCGCTTAGGACAAATAATTAGGGCCAGTAACCCTAAAGACCTTATTGAAGCCAGTAACCGTATCCGACGTGAACTTCAGTTATCGTATTTCGAATCTCAAAAATCAAATAAAGATAGCCAAAATAATCCAAAACCTTCCCAACCGATGAGAAGAACCTCATCTAATTTTTCTAAATGTACAAGTTGTGTCGTATTGGCCATTTAAGTAGCGAATGTCGCTCATCACGTTTTTCTTATCAAAATCAATATAGCGGTAGACCACAAAACTATCAAAATAATCAAAACCAATCCAATCAATATAATACTAGATCACAAAATTACCCAAGTAATCAAAACCAATACTCTTCTAATCAACAAAATTTAAACCCACAGAGATCGAATTTCCCTTCTCAAAATCAACCGCAGAATCGCCCCTCTGTTATTCAGAGAAATCCAAATTTCCAAAATTTTCAGCAAAGAGCCCATGTCTTTAATGAATACCCTGACGATCTTGTAGAATCTTATGAAGATTATTATACAGAAAATGATCTTCAAACTAACTATTTTTACGAATATACCAATGACACATCTGATTATATTAATAATACACCTGATACAGAAAATTATCAGGATTTTCTTTCGCTACCCAATCAGAACCATCCCCCAGTACATACGAATCTTTCAACCGATATCACGAATGTACAACAACAAATCCAAGCCCTCAATTTGGACAATTTCGATCCAAATGTGAATTTCCCCGAACAGAAATTCCTGTAAGCCCCTTCCACACAATGAGCTCTAAAAACTTATATTATATCAATGACGCTACGAATACTTTTAAACTTCTAATTGACACCGGTGCAGGAATTACAGTTTTCAAAGAGAATACTGCACGAAATTATCATAACCGATACCCAGAAAATGTTACCATTCAAGGCATAACCGACGAGAAACTTCTAATTACAGAATCTGTCCTTATTCCCTTTACCGATGACAACCCTCACAAAGTTTTCATTTTTAATCTAGACATTGACTTTGACGGCATAATAGGCCTAGATTTCCTA